TAAGATGTTGTTTGGCATTTGACAGATTGTAAAATGATGATACTTTTGACATCCATACACAGGGTAAACCCCACCACAAACCTCATGCCGAACTGAGAAAGCATATTGTGGATGCCAAAACACAGACTGCTTCTTGTGAAATCTCGTCCAAGAGGACTGTACGCTTCAAATGAGCGAGAGTAATGAGGGAGATGGAGCAGAAGTAAAAATTTGCTGCAGCCTCCCAAATACAGGCATGCAGCCTCGTACGTCCTCCCACACCATTACGGTCTGCGGTTATCTGATGTTGGGCTGGACTTCACGTGATGTTGAGATTGAAGTTACTGAAGAGAGCCATGTGTGGGTTTGTAGCACAACCGTTTGTGCATGTGTGCTAATGAGTGTCGGGAAGAAGGCCAGTCCCAGACGGCAGGGGGAGACTTGGCTCCTGCAGACCTGAGCGCTGGCCGTTTCTCGCATGGTTTGAGAGGCATACTGAAAAACCCCTCACCCAGCAGAAGAAAACAGCCAGGCCCCCATTGCCCTTGAACTGTCTCCTCGGATGAGTCAGAAAATGAGAGAGATTGCACAGAATTGAAATGAAATCTCTTTTCTGCTGAACTGAGGAGATGCTCTGAGCTCTGACCACATAGGCGATTCAATCCAGAGCATTTAACTTTTTTGGAGGTGGGGGGGTCAGCTAAGTGCCCCCCCCACACACACACACCCATCCCTCTTTTTCCTTTCCCCCCCCAAATAGACGAAAGAGGATGGAGGGAATCTAGGTTATAGCCACACAAGAGCCCCCCCGAGAGGAACCAAGAATGGAGGGATGGTTAGAGAGATGGAGAATACTAAGCTGTGATTAAGGAAGAGCTGCTGCTATTTAAGAGTTAAGCTGAAGAGGAGAAGGAGATTGCATGGGCAGTGGAGGAGGAGGAGAGGAACGCTGGAGGGGGAAAAGAGCATCTTCTCCGAGCAGGGAGATCAGCAACCATGCAGGCGGAGGCTGAAAGACAACCTGAGAATAAGATAAGTGGGATGAGGAGAGAGCAAATTCCAAGTGAGAGGATGAAAGATGCAACAAAAAAGTGGATCCAAGGAGATGACGAGAGAGAGATAAAAGGGAAAGAAAGGGGAGAAGAGGGTATGTTTGTGTATGACTAAACAACAGGATCAGAAATAAGAGGAGGAAAGGCAAGGAGAAGAGAGGACATCCATCCCTCTCTTTGCCTCATGTGCACAGGGCACGGCTGGGGGCAGATGAACGAGTAAAGCGTTCATGTATGTGTGTCATACAGCTGTACGTTTAAAAAAAAACTTGAAAACAGAAGGAGCGGAGGACCTGCCATGTAGCAGGTGCTGACCATTTCACGCCTGTCCGCCCCTCTTAGCCCCGTTTGTCTACACAGATCCACGTTAGTCTCTGCAGGTCTGAATCACACCCCCATCTGAAGTCATCTCTATCTACCATAGGTTCTTTTTTTCCCCCCATACTCGTCTCAGTTGCCGCTTTCCACAATCATACTTGGCTCTGACATTTTCTGCTTGCCTTAGTCACCTCTTAACTGCCTGCAGATTTAGCTCACATCTTCTCCTCCTCCTCCTCTGGAAATGAGTAACACTGGTATAGGATGGAGGAAAGGGGACTGGGTGGACGAGGAGTTGAGCAAAGTTCATACAAGGTAGGGAAACTGGAGAGTGAACGTGACAATGTAGAGACTAAGAGGTCAAGAAAAATGGAAACAAAACTTTAAAAAAAAGAAGAAATTGAAAGAAAGAGCAGAAGAGGAACAAAGCGAAGAAAAGCAGTGAAGAGCTGAAGCAGCAAAGGGTGACTGATCCGCTCTGAGAGGCTTGAAGAGTGACAGAAACACACGCTACGCTGAGCGATAGTGGAGGCCAATGGCTGTGCAGATAGGATGCAGTGGCACAAGATTCCCACAGGAGTTTTAAATGCTGTCAGCATCGCTCTCTCTCCCTCCGTCCCTCATGTCTTTACCCTCTCAGACTAAGGAGTGCATGCTGGCACCGATTTATCTCGGTGCACACTCCCTGGCTTTGTAGTCTGAAAGCCAGTATACTCCATCTTCCTCCACCTGCTTCTGGGATTTTTGCATCTTTCTTGTAAAACTCAGCAGGAGATGGCAAAATCCTTTGTGCAAAGAAGGCCAGTTACACTACTACTGCATGTAGTAGTTCACAGTGGCCCCAAGGGGTTCGATGACGCATGCCGTGGCACCATAAAAAGCAAAGGGGCTTGAAGATGATGAAGTTGAGAGAGATATTCAGAATGAGCAAGCAAAATAAGAAGAGTGAGAAAAAAGCTAAAAATTAGAGCATGAAGAGACTGGTTGGCTTTTAAGAAGTAGCCAGCGGAAATTATATACTTTCTCCCCCATTATGGACAGAGCTTACTCCCATGTCAGCAGAAAATAACTTCATATTAAGTGCAATCATGCCACAGAAAAGTGGAAGTAGATGCATATTGTATGAGGTAAAATGTAGTGGTGAACCCTGCTGAAAGGTTCTGCTGAACTCTTGCAGAACAGAGGGGGGTTGGGACCATGTGGCCTCTTTCAGGCTTATGGACACTTTTTTAGATGGTTTTTTTCTTCAAAGCACAGAGAACCATCAGAGGTCTTGTCCCAAAAAGGATGCATGTTTTTATAGGTAGATGCTTTTCACAAATAACATACAGAAACATGCAGGCCAACAGGGAACAACCAGACCTCACAATATTAAATGGACTGATAGGTCTTCCCAAACTGAAGGCTGTTTGGTGGAACAATTTTCAGCAGCTGCTTTTATTCTTTAGTTCTGGATAACATTTGCTTGGTTTATAAAAAGACAAAACAAAAAACAGGAACTGTGAAACTAACTGGGATCCAATCAGACATGCTGTAATATGTATAAAATAAGATTATATGAAATATTCATGACAAAGGTTAGGCTTAGTTTAGACAAAGTATACATGTCCGTCTAAAGATAACTTCTTGAGCTAATATTTGGTTATGAAAGTATAATGAGATGAGATATAATGTAAAAATGCTTAGGAAAGGAGATGGATGAGGAAAAACCCAGAAGAAAAACGCCACTGTTTTTATCCTTAGCACAGAAAGCAGAATGAACATATAAAACATGGACTTCTAATCACATTTTCCATTCTTCAACTCAAACAAAATACTTAACCTTATTTTTTTCTTGATATAAGTTTTTATCAGCCATCATAACTTCTGAAAACGGAGCAAATTACTTTTTTTTTTGCAAAACAACAAAGACCCTTTATCTGGTGAATTCATATCAGACTTGAGTTGCTTAATATGTCTGACTAATGTATTATATCTATATCAGTCTTTCATATCACTCAATATCCAGAATTACCCATTTGTTTTTAATTTATCTAAATAGGTTTTAGGGGGAAAAATTATGAATTTAAATATAAATTTTTTTTGAAAATCTAACCTTTAAAAAAATGGTCCATCAGCACCATCACCCTCAATGCTTCACGTTGCAATGAAAGACCGAGAAGCTAAATCATTTCCTTAGCCAACCTTCCCCTGAGTGTCACCCTGTTCTGGTGAAATTATAAAACTTTTCAACAGGCATGTTTTCATTGTAATACATATTTTCCTCATTTGCCAATAGAACCACCTTGGCATAACACAAGCATAAGAATTGGAATATTTAGACAAATCAAACTGAACCCAAATATTTTATGTTTATTAGATAAAAGAGTTATGCAGATTTTTCAACTATTATTGTGAAAATATTATTTTTTGTTTCTCTCAAAAACACTGCTAAACACCATGTTCTTCACCTGCATCAGCCTGTGAGCGGAATGCATAATCAAAACTAGAATTTGTTTCAGCTTTACATAAAAACTACTGAATTTCAATTCTGTCTGAACAAAATACACAAAAAATACTTTTGAGGTCAACATTGTGATGTTTTTTTTAATATTCTGTCATAGTCCACACCTAATTGTTGTCAAAAAGCTTTAGAAGTTTTAAATGCAGATCTTCAGAGTGTAGAGTGGTCTCGTTTAAAGAATAATAATAAAAAAAACAAGTCGAATATCACTGAAGGCAAATGTAGAAACCTTGTAAAGAACACTTGAAGAGATTGGCTTTAGATGTACAAACAAACCAGAAAACCTTGGACAACATCGAGGCACAGAAACCTGGAATAAAATGTATTGACAGCATGCAATGAGATGTGAAAAAAGGCATGCACTCTTGACAAAAAAGAAAAAAAGAAAGAAAAAGAGGTATAAGGTTGAGGAGAGGTAAATGACTCAGTCATTTACCTCTCCTCAGACACCCCCCACCCCCCACCCCCACATGCATGCGCACACACCCACACACACACACACACACACACACACACACACACACACACACACACACACACACACACACACACACACACACACACACACACCAAGGACAGAGCAGCTGGACGCACTAACCTAAACACCATAGATTGTCCCCAGAACAGAGAAACTGTTTGTGTTTACGTGGCATGTGATGTAAAACAAGGCGTATCCCTTGGGAAGCACTAAGGGTATTAAACAGCATAAAATACGAGGAAAATGTGGCTTGTGTGATGAAAGAGCAGTTGCTTCCAGCTCATAGGTTTCAGAATATAAATATTTTCATATACAAGCCTGAGGTAAGTTTAGCTGATGGATGAACAGCAAGCAGTGCTTTTTGCTTTCTCAAACTGATGGATTTAGCATGTGAAATTCATCATTATGTATGGACATTTGCAATTGCAACTTCTGAAAATTAGACTAAGCACTGCTTTTTATCTATTTAGGACCAGTAGATGAGTGGATTTGGGATGCCAATTCATTATGTGGCAGGGAAGTGCATGAAAAGGACACTTCAATTAATTATTTCCAGTGACGAATACCCCCACGTGTGAGCATTTCCAATCTCATTAAAAGATTTATGTTCTTATAGGGAAGTTTAAAATACTAAAAATGCACAGCTTAATTGGATCAGGAATGCACTCACCTCTGACGAAGATGGTAACCTGATCCCTGGTAGTCCCGATGCGGTTCTTGACCTCGCAAACAAAAGTGGTGTTGACTGTATCGTCCACTTTCAGCACCTTTAGCTCGTTGGATTTGACCAACACAGTTTCTGGCATCTCTCCCGACATTCTGAGGTGAAATGAGCATAAAAATCAGCATTGAAAAAAACCCAAAAACTTAGTGAAGAGAGAATAAATTAAAGATAATAGATGAGCAGTTCTAGAAATATGCTGCATTGTCCACTCCAGATAAATTCTACTAATCTTTATTGGCAGAATAAAAACAGTCAGTGTCAAATTGCCTAAAAATTCACTCCATTGCTTAATGTGGGAAAAAGTCTAATTCAGCCTTATAATGTCCAGTTTTCCTAATTATCGCAGCTTCATTAATGAATCATAACTAGAAATGCACTAATATGAATGTTGTAGTAGATTCCATGTGTAAAATGTTCACTGAATGATTCCAACTTTGTCCAATTAAAATGTCCTTTTTCAGAACTCATAGAAAGATTGAAGGACTAAAACAATTATTTATAATTGCTGTTCTATGACAGAGGTTGAAAGCACATGAGGATTATGGACTGCATTGTGCAGTAGAAAATTTAGCCTTCTTCTCATCTATTTTAGGGTTTCTCTTTCTCACTCTTTTGCAATATGAATGTACCATCATTCTGGTGATATGTTTATGTGCTTGTCTCGTTAGCCATCTTTTTCTGCGCATGCACACTTTCAGGCGTATTTGTGGTGAGCTACGGTTTCCGACAGACAGTCATTGAACCTCCCTTTCTCACTGTGGTTCTGAAAGTGGTAGAGGGTCGTAAGAGAAAAAGTATCTACGAAGTGTATTAGAAGAAAAAAAAAGACCTCAGAAGAGGCAGGTACATCCCAGAATGCTTTGCGTGGAGAGCTCTCATCGCAAAGTATTATGAGATTTGCTATCACAGCATTGTCGCCACCTGACAGCGGCGACTAATAACAAAAATGGCCCAGGCAGAGGAATTATGTGACCAACGGAGCAAAAAGCAGTGATCATCTGCCCGAACGGTCAGTTAACCGAGTTTGGTGTTAAGTCTACTATATAGTCCCCACTCTATATAGCGATTGAGAGGTGTATGGGTTAGGGTGGACGTTCGAAAAAATTGAGCTTATATGAACTATGAGAACAGCAACTTTTAAACAGAGTGTGCACGAGAAGAAATTGGCTCTTTCACACATTTAATAGGTGTTCCCTTTCGGGTACAGGGTTGTGCATGTGCAATTGTTTTTTTTTTAAGTGGAGGGGGCAGGTCATTTAAAAACATTCACGAAAAATCCTCCACAATACCTTTAAAATTATTAGTTAAATTGTTTATTAATCTCTGTGCAGATTCATTTGGGGACTAAATATAAGACAGTCATTACAAACAGGATGACAAGTATAAACAGATCCAGACTTTTAAACCAAAACATTTTCCCCCTTCTAATTATTTCAGCATTCATTACAGCTGTACTAATGGCTGTCAAAACAGGACAATAGGAGGAGTCCTGCTCTGTTTCTCATTATTGAAAGGCTGGCTACAAAATCCATTATGAAAAAACATCTTAATCAATGCAGTTTATCAGTGTCAATAATAAAGGGTTCTGGAACACCTGAAGAGCTGGGAGTGAAGGGTGAGAGCAAGAAAAGAAGCCCTCCAACAGCAAAAAGATTGTACTTTAACAAGATACTTACGATTTCCAGATCACAGAAGTGGGAACCGGGTTTGCGTTCGCATTGCAGGTGAGCGCCACGTTTGAACGGCCCACGTACCAATTATTGTCATATCCCTCAATTGTCACCTCAGGGGCAACTGGGGGTGGACGGGTGAATGACAGGAGGGAAATTGGGGGAGGAAGAGAAATAAGTTTAATTATTCACTGTGAGGTTTGAAATTTTCAAAGCTTATCACAGTGTGTGAAGGCCAGGGGAAATCATGAGAGCAGGGTCTGTATGTGTGTGTGTGGAGGGGGTGGTGGTCTTACACTGAATGACTAGTTTCCGAGAGATGCTCTCCACTTTGACCTGGGTTCTGTGTTCCACCAAGCATGCGATCTCCTTCCCATTGTCCCTTGATTTGGGCACAAGGCGGTATTCACTCGTCACTGTCACAGTGTTGTCGGCACTTGTCTGAGACTTCTCTGTCCAGTTCCCGTTGGCCGTGGTCACCCATTTGATCTGGGCTGGTGGGCGGCCATTTTTGGACACGCAGCGGGCCACAACGACTGCCTGAGTCCCGGCGATCACAGGTAAGACCTCGGCAGAGTTATCTGGCTTAGCTGGTGGACGATGGAGGAGAAGATGCACAGGTGGAGGATGGAAGAAAGCAGGAGAGACAGAGGATTAATAGATGTACAGAGAGATAAAAAGAAAATAAGATAGCGAGGAAGAAGATAATGTGAGCAATTATCTTTCACAGAAAAACAATTTAAGTCAGGCTGCCTGACAAAAGCAAACATCCCCTGTCCTCCCAACCCCAATCAAACACACATAGATTCTCCGTTCAGTAGTTCTTTTTTTTTCTCTCCAGAGATTTCTTTGACAAACAATTACAGGCGAGTGCTAAACTCTCAGACACTCCTTCAGTTCTCTATCTACTCTTCCTCCATCACAATCACTGCTGAACCAGCTCTCCCAATGCATTTCCATACAGTTTCTAAATGACGACATGATGTCAGTTATTTCTCCCTCTGCTCCTCCTCCCTTCTCATTTGCCCTCTCTCATAGCTTTGTGGGATCAGAGGAAAGTAGGAAGACAAGAACTGACAGCAGGCATGACAAGCAGACCAATCAATACGCCGCCTGAGGGAGAGCGGAGTTACGGCGAGTTGGAGAGGTGAGGGGCAGCTGATCCGCTGGGTGCTGAGCCTCGGCTGTCTTACAATAAAGAAGAATAAAACAGGTCTTCTGTGGTCTCTTATTACAGCAATAAGATCCAGATTTTAGATGCCTTTAAAATCTGCATTTGAATTAAAGAGCAGGCTGGAAAAAATAAAAATCAGACAGGACAAGACGTCTGGCATTTATCCCCCTAGGTAAGTACTTTCTAACTATAACCAGATGGGTGACAGCGTCGCAAAAAAAATAAAATAAAATAAAAAATGCTTCACTTTGCTTTGGCTCAGATTCAGAGAGTCTGGAAAACTGAAAATGACTGAACATGTTTGGCTAGAAAAGCAAAATAAACTGAGGACAGCTGGCCAACCTTTTTTTTTTAAATGTACCCCTCACCAATCAATCTGTTGATGGTGTGTGAAAGTTATAAAAACTAAAATTAAAAATCTGTGAAATAGTCTGAACCAACTTCAGCCGAGTTCTGCTAAACACTTCATTTCAAACTGTTAATGTAAATCAGATTTATTAGGATGATTTTTTTTTTTTTTAAGGAAGCCCCTTTAGTATTTGTTTACACACCAAATTATATCTAGTATGTAGTAGAAAAATAAAAATATTTCTACATATTTTTTAATCGTTTCCTTTGATTCTGCTTTGTCCATTAAAATGAGAGCTGTATTTAATATATTTTTGGTTATATCCTTTCAGCAAAGGATAGGGACACCAAGGTTATCATAGATATGTGCCATTGAGATTTCCTTTTAAATATGCATCCTTATTATTTTAGTTGTATCATAAGCTGTCCTTGTGCAATTTGTTTATTGCAAACACGTAAAGAATGTTAGCCTAATTTCAAATGGGTGTTTAATTTCAGCTTTAACTGTTTTCTACAAGTTCGTATTAAAAGGCGACTCTTCTGAGTGTAAAGCATTGATCATCACCTTGTAGAGCATAGTGGGATTAAAGCAGACACCCTGAAAGCGTAGAGGCAGTGTTGCAGTTTCCAGCTTTTGGTTTTACTTTGAAACCTGACAGCTTTACTTTACTCTAAAGTTTCAAACAGAAAACGACAGCATCAGACGGGAACAACAACAGAGCTATACATCAGAAAATCTCGTGACTTTGTGCGGATGTTGTTGGCAAACTCAGGCGGTTCCTGTGGATGTGTTTAAGTTCATCACCATGTCTCTCTTGCTCTCTCACTTATGACACTCCCGTCTGGCTAAAACAGACCAGGGGTGTCATTTATAAAACTTTGTATGTAATCCACACTAAGTGTTTGTACGCCACTTAAATCAAAATGGAGAACGGCCCAAAAAATTAAATCCTAATTTATGAACCAAAAAGCTTTCCTTTATATATCACAGGCGTACCTCCAATGCTCCATCTCATGTTCAGCTATATACACAACCACATTAAACCATAAATGGTCCATGCAAAGTTCTGCATGAATATCATTGTGTATTTAAATGAGCAAGCTGATCAATGCTATTTGCTGGTTAATGTGGAAACCACAAGTTAAAAAGTACAATTTAATGTAGTAGAAAGTAGTTAATAGATTAGCTGTAGAGTGAGGCGGAGAGTCGGATAGATATGTTTGATAGCCACATAAAATAAAAGACAGTATTTCAGAGTCGGGTGTATGGACTGATTGTAGGCATCCTGCACCAGCGAGCTCATTGCTGCCCCAATATCTCAGATTTATGGAAAAATTCTTGTTTCTAAAAGTTGCTTTAGGCAAAAAGTTGAGATTTGACTTTGAACAACCAACTTCTTTAGAAATGACCTTCTCTGCCTGACACTAATCACTCTGGGTTAACCATAGCATGGTCAGAACAGCCTTTCTGCCCCGCATCGCTGAATTCATTCAGAAAAAATATATATATTTTTTTTAAATTAATTTTCTGATAATATTCCATTTTAAAGAGATGCACCAACAGACATTTAGAAACTGTTCGTTTCTTATTGGTCCATGAAGTGTCCCCTACAGAGACAAACATGGTTCCCAGCTCTACATGAATAGACTGATTTAATGCTCATCAGAACCTTTCCAAACCTCTGAGCTTGAAAACAATCTCAATAATTTATTCCTAAACCAATAAAAAACAGCAGATTGTGATTAAGACCTACCCAACATGATCAGCTGAGTGATTCCCTGCTCGTTGCCATCGGGATACGTCGCATAGTCGCAGATGTACTTGCCCTCATCAGACATCCTGACATCAGTGATCTCGATGGAAGGGCTCGCCATTTCTGTTGGACTGGGTTTGAAGCTGACCCTGCCCTTCACTGGCGAGGGGGGGTAGTTGGGGCCAAAGGAAGGATGAAGCACAGCTATGTTTATCCTCTCTCCTTCCTTTGTCTCATATATCCAATTGACCTGCGAAGGAGCACGTTCAGGGTCAGCATATAGACGCAGAGAAGAACAGCAAGCCTCATTTATCACAGCATTGATAAGAAACATTGGAGAGCCTTTGAAGGAGTTGAGATTTAAATGTAATCTACATGGAGCAACACGTGTAGCATTACAATCAGGTAAGTGGAGCAGGTATGAATATGGATGACAATATTTCCAGGAGCAAAACTCTCTCAGCTGTTCTCAGGGAAACGGCTAAAGTTGTGCACTTCCACTTCATTTAAATGCAACTAAGAAGTGGCATCCATTACCATATTCAATCCCCTGAAGCAAAATGAAGCTTAGTGTTGTTTGTTTAGAGTAATAAAACATTAAGCCCAAATGTGATAAAAAACCCATTGCCTGCCTTGGAATGATTTCTGCCAGCCATCGTTTGATAGATTAAGGCTTAATTCAGCTAATTTAAATTTTAAAAAACGGCACATGGAGCTGAACTGCAGATCTTTTGATTGTAGTGATTTTTTTTTCTTAATCTGCGAAAACCTTCAAAGTTTGGTCAACTGGATCACTATTTACACAAATAGGAGTCTAACTGTCACACTATTATTTAACGCCTCAGTGGCTTTATTTTAAGACTTTAGTAGCGTTAGCATGTAAAGGGTTCAGACCTCCTACTTAAAAATGATCTTAACTTAAACCTAAAGGTTCTGGAGACACAAATTGAGGTCATTGAATTTCAAGGTCTATTCTTACTACGAAGTTCAACATTTTATGCATTTTGAATGAAGATTTTAAAACTGGCTAAAAATGTGGTGCACTGGTTATGGAGAAGAATAACTAAGTAGGTTGTTTATGGCTGAATGGTGAGTTTCTGGAAAAAAAAAAAGAAAAGAAGGAGAGCAAGATCCAAAACACTGCATTGTAAGTTAGTTTTTATGCAAGATGAAATGAGTGCTTTAAATTGTTTGGGGAATAAATATATTTTCTTTCGTGTCTCTCCTCTGGTGTGTTTACCGACACGTTAGAGCTAGAGCTGCACCGATCAGATACCTTAATCTTATAATTGTGATTTGGTATCAGATATCTGGGATCCAATCCAGTGCACTTTACATGGAAGTGTTATTTTGACTAATTTGGTAATAATATAAAAATACATTTATATCCGTGTTAATGTGTTACCTTTTTTTTTAAATGTTCATGTCGAGGCTAAAGCCTTCACTAAACTCCCTCCTTTCAGACTACACCTATAACATAAAAAAATCATTGTTCTTTTTTTATAGTAAGATTGAATAAAGTGGTTGCAAACAAATTTACTGAGCAACACGACCACTAGCCAACCAGCATAGACCTCAGCAATGCATCTATTTTCTGCTAATACAGCTCAAGCCATTCAACTCTTTCGACCTTCCCACTTTGGGTTCATTTTAAGGATAACATAACAGATTAAGCAAAAGCATTACAAGCATGTTTGTGTGCTTAAAGTGGATCTGTGGGGTATATGAGTTAAAACCAGATTCAACACTGCAAACAGGGGTTTTCGCATCACTAGATACACCAGATGGTGATCTGTTTTCCCTGTTCCCAATATTAACGTCATATCTCCAACTAAATAAAAGGTGATTATTCTGTTGTTTTTTTTTTCCTAGCAACATTGATCAAAAAAAGACCCCTAAGAACATTGTTTTTCTTACAGTATTGTAATGGTCGGTGTTACCTCTCTGAACGCAAAATGCTATTTGAAAAGGAAGTCATTTGACAGTCCCAAACCAAACGTATAAAAACTTTATACGTGTGATAATTTCATTGGTTTTTGTTCATTTATATTTGACCTGTGCCAAGATCACAGCATCAGAGGAAGAATTGCATAAAATGTGAGATAATAAAATTCAAAGCCTCTACTTTTTCCGGCCAAAATAAAGGTTAATACAATGCAGTCTTTTCGGATTTTAAGACACTAGACCACCCCTTTTATTTCCAAGCACTTACACCAATTTACTGAGTCACAAGGCAGCAATAAGAGCTGTAATGTTCAGATGGAGCAAAACATTGTTGCAGAACAAAGTGTGGAGCTGATATAAGCACATCAGTGAATACAGATAATCAAATACAGACAGAGGAAAAAGAAAGGTAATTTCATCTTGGAAATGTGAATCTGACCATTGTGAGCTGAACGCCATTTGTGTCCGGGAAGGAGCAGCGCAGGTTGATCGTCTGGCCAGGATACGACGACAGCTCTGGATCCACCTTCACCCGCTGACCTGATGTCCCTGTGTCAAACAAAGAGAGAAAAACATTAACCACAGCCATTTCCTTCACCGGGAAGGAAACAGAGAAAGAGAGCGCAGGAATCATGTCAGTAATAAGCCCGATGATAAATGAGGACTGTGTGGATGTGTCTGGTACAACAGAGGACAATATTAGTGAACCCAGGCAAGTAGGCCAAGAAGCTGGTATCTCTACATGACTGCTTGTGTGGATGAAGAAGAAGCTGGGGGGGAAAGAAAAGAAAAAAATCAGGGGGAAGTGTGCAGCTGAAAAAAAGAGGAAAACCAGTCTTCTTTTGAACATGGGTCATAAATCATCAGGATGGGATATGCCTCTCTATAGCCTGCCATTTGCTGTGCCGACACATTCCTGTGTAACAGCAGAGTCAAAATAAATATGCTTTTTCCAGTGTGAGAAATACAGGGCGAGAGAGTTTTAGGCCGACAGACTGTTCCTCTTTCTGTGTGTGCGCCTGTTTGTGTGTGCAGGTCTCTGTGAAAATGTAATTACTTGTGTGAATAAGCCCACATTAGTTTATGTCAGCAAGACGCCACCAGTTTTAAGAAAGAATGGATTACCTGCAGTTACGCAACTTCAAAACTTCTGCAGCCAGTGCTGTGAAGCGATTCTGTTTTGCTAACAAGCTACAGATACATAACACCGAAAGAGAAACACGAATACCTGCAAGACCAGTTCAACCAGTTTGGGCTGTGTCAAAGCCCAATGCTGAGGCGGAGCTGAAACCTACAGTCTAGCAGATAAGGCAATGAACAACACATCTTTCCATCTCCGGGGAGATATGAAATATCAATACAGAGGAGGAGATGAGGGTTTTAGGATTGAAAGAACGAGTGGGAAAGTGGAGGAAAACAAGACTTTCCTAGAATAACATCAGCTCTCACAGCGCCAGCCCAATTTGCAACCACAAAACAACCCCCTTGAAGCCACAGAGAAACCTCTGGACAGCCACTAAGCAGCCCTTAGGAGTAGCTCTGATTCTTTTTGGGGTGAAAAATGTTACTCCCTCCTCTGAATATCTCTGGTTGGGTAAAAACTCTGAGGAACAGCAGAAATATATAGATTTTGCCATTATATTTTTCAAATCAATTGATTAAAGAGTGGTCTAACTATGATCAGATCACCTTGTATAATTAGAAGCTGAACCTCCATAGAGCAGAAAATGAGAAAATTGAATGAAAATTACACCTTATTACACTAATGATCCCTCGTATTGACAAATAGATTTATCTAGACTGGTTTACCAATAGCACTTTAATACAGTTTACTACTCATATGTTTCATATAGCGATTTGAGTTTTGCAGCTAATCAATCAGCATTCTAATGCCAATACACATAAATACTCCCTGCTCGAAAAGGTGCCACCACTTATTCATTCTGCACATGTCCCAGGACTTCCCGGACAGGAAGATTCAGTTCTTCCTGTTTACATGACAATGGAGACCAAAATATTTTCTAAACCTGATATTCTGGAACCAGTTTTCATTTAAAGAAAATATGCTGGGGTGTACACAAACTACGGAAACGCAACAAAGCTTTTCCGTTTTTAGCTAAATATTGTCATGTAAATCAGGCCTTAGGTGTTCATATCTTAGTCTGTGTTTAACCCATGCAAATTACTACATGAAAAGCTCGCTACAAATTGAAATAAATCAGTAAAAGTTGTCTTTTAACAGACTTGCTCAACCAAATTATTTCACTAATGTGAGTGAAATGACAGAGTTAAAAAGATTTAATCCTATTTAAATTATTCTCTGGGTTGAAGGTGGAACTAAAAGGGGATCTGCAGTAAGTATGACACTGAAGCCAATAAATCAAGGATTTAGCTTAAGTAATCCACCCTTTTAACCAACATGTTTCTTTTCACTGTAAGCAATAATGCTTTGGAGCAACCCAGATATGATTCCAGACTTAAATCTGATCAAGAAGCCTTGAAAGTTGAAGATTAGGGTGATGGCAAAGAGGTCTTCAAATCTCAAAGACAAGAAGCTTCATTCCACTGATATTTTGACATTTTGTCCAAAAAAAAAAAAAAAAAAAAAAACTTGTATGGGGGTGTATAGATAATTTGGAGCTTAGCTGTACATTAAAGCTTGTGACAGATACAGCTACAGCTATCTGTGCAAATCTGAAAATGTCACAATACAATACTTAACAAGCTCCATGAAAGATTTATACCTCAAAATTAGTCACGGCAGGCAGTGCTATGTATCCAGTTAGTAATCTAATGGGGAAAACATGCACCAACTTATCCTCTTCTTAATACTGACTTTGTCTTTTTGGTAGATTTCCATGATACTCAAACTGAACCTCTCCCTAAGTGATAGTTGAGCAGCTGTCTTTAATTGTACAGGCTATTGTAAATACAAAGAGAGATCCTGCATGCAAGAACATACTGCTACTGCACTGACATTACTATATAGTTATTTTTTTATCATGGGTTCAAGTTAAGGTTTATAATATAAATTAACAAAAAATCATAATTTCACCGGGAATATAAGATGAAATTTAAAATGGCGTTCAAAACCTTACAAAAAAAAACAAAACACGTAGATACCCTCATCTCCTACTCAGTTAACAGGTAAATATTTTGAACAGAGCAACTGTTCAACAATGAAAATGTTTCACGTCTTGGCATGTTTTTCCTCTGGTGCAAATACCAGAGCAGAGCGCACACCCAAGATGCACAAACATCCACAAACACAAACCAATGTGGGGTCAACGTGGAGGCAGGTCCGTGTCAGTCATACAGATGCAACGAGAGGAGACACAACACAGATCAACTCCCGTCAGAGCGGAGACGAGAGACAGGCTGGCCTTAGACTCCAACAGCCTCCGGAGAAATGAATATTATACAGCCTCAACCTTCACAACAGCCCATTGCCCCCCCCCCCAAAAAATAAGAAAAACAAGAAAAGAAAATCCTGAAAATTTAAAGAGTTTGACAAAATAAAGATGATTCAAGAAGTATGAATATGAACAAAAAAATCCTAGAAAAATTTGAAGCAAGGCTATGTTTGAGAAAAGTAATTGCAAATATAAATATTTGGAGAGAAGGGGCCACATTTAACAGAAGGAACTAAAGAGAACGATGGGAAAATAAAAGACAGTTCAAGGGTAAATGAGGGAAGAAGAAGAAAAGGGAGAACAAGTGAGAGAGAGACAAAAAAAAGAGCAGGGAGGAGAGCAAGGCCAGAAACAGAGTCATTTCTGCTCTACTTTACCAAAGCCCTAGTGCCTGCAGGTAAAATAAACACCATCATGTAAAAGCGAACGCATCCAGATCCAAAAACTGCACTCTTCAACCTCCTCAAGTAGTTAGATGTCAGCAACCTAAGTACTGTCACCTATCATTATGTCTTTAACACCCACATGATGTGCGTGCACACAGACTTTTTATGCTAATGGCGCTGTGACAGCCCTGCCATATTAACATAGTCCTCTCACTCTGATCTCCTGCCTGGTCACGCTGACATTGCCATATTTCCCACCGTTCATCTGTGGAGGGGAAAATGAGTCTGAGAGGGGCGTGCGCTAGAAGGATAGAGGGATAAAATGATGAGACGAAAGAGAGAGAGAGAACGCCTGGGAATGCACAAGTGACGGAGGATGGATGCGAGGAAAGTGAAGATGAGAGGGTGTGAATGTTGGTGCCAGGAATAGAGGATGTAAAAAGAGTGAAAAGAGAATGTGTTGAGGGAAAGAGGAGGCGTTGTAAGCGGTAAACAAGGTTAATAGGAGACAGTTGAGGGACAAAGACGTCTGCAAGAGAGGAAGAGAAAGAAGTGAAAAGGGCGGCTTAAAATGGAGAGTTGATGGTTGATGAGGGTGGAAGAGAAAGAGCACGGAAATTGATTCAGGGTGGACTCATGAAGTGAACTTAGCCACGTCCCCATTACACCACCAAGATCGTTTCTCTCCGCTCCATCTTAATTTCCGGACCCTTCATTTCACCCAGGTTGCTTCTTGTGTACATTTAGACAGTTAATGATGAAGACATCTTGTCTGGCTTCTGTTTGTCAGAAAGAGGCTTCAGATTTGAAAATAAACTGCATTACTATTAGGGGTAAAACTATAAGAATTATGTAACAAAGGTTCCACTTCTTAATCTATGTAAGTCACATTGAACCAAACATAAAGGTGTAGTGTTACACATCCTAAACAAATCTAGAAGAGGGTGTACAGCAGGGCGTTCTATGTTGGGGATTACAACATGGTGTTCATGTTTAGATCTGGGTATCCATCATAGCGGTTTGCCTCTTCAAGTCTACTCCAAGGAAGAATTAAGTCAATTCAACATATAACCATGTTTCTTATATTTAGATATTTATCTTGGCAATTAAAATGTGTCCCAACGCAGCATTAATTGGGTAAACTTAAAAAAAGAAAATGGCATATAGGATTGTATAAATGTGCTTCTAATAACATGTACTTAAACAATTCTTTAACGAGACCTAGTTACATTTCCAGAAAACTGTTGATAACGGTGTTAAGAGTTTATAATGCAGGAATGCATACATGAAAATTAAGTTTTCAAAACTTTATGTTTAGTTTGAAGCTCAAAGAATACATGGAATGTCTGAGTTTTTTAAATATTAAATATATAACATTATAAAAGCTGAGTTAAGATGCAAATGTTCCATCTTCCTACCAGAGCAGGAAGGGTAGATTTTTAGAATGGGTCTCTGACCTCATCCTTTCTGATAATAGAAATAGGAATATATCGAATTGTATTGAACAAAACTTTTCTAAAATTAAAGCCAATGATTCTCTCTGTGGAATTACACTGTATCACTTAATAAGTCATAACTTTAAATTACTTGAAAAAGACTTAAAATTAAAAGGGAGAAAAACGGATCTATCCAATTTTGTTTCCTTGTAGTGGAATAAATTGGGGTAAATAATGACACAACCCAAACCCAATTACCTGGGAAAGTAAATAAATCTGTAGTGGAAACCCACCTCTAATGATCAATCACAGTG